AGCCGAAGTCAGACGCTTAACCAACTGAGCCACCCAAGCGCCCCAAATTTATTTATTTTGAGAGAGAGAGGAGAGAGAATCCCAAGCAGGCTCCATGCTGTCAGCGCAGAGCCCAGCATGGGGCTCGAATTCACGAACCATGAGATTATGACCTGAGCCAAAATCAAGAGTTGGATGCTTAACCAATGGAGCCACCGGGTGCCCCTTGGAAAAAAGCTTTGAAATGAGTTTTACATCAAGAAAAAGATGTAGTGTTGGCAGCTATGAGGCTTCAGAGAATAGTTTTCTGGAAGAAGTATGAGCAACAGAAGGTCATGTTAGGTCCACAATTAGGGAAGGATGAGGATATGATACAGTTCTGCAGAGAAATGTTAAATTTTTAAAGCAACTGAGTAGATGGGCAAGAAAAGCCCTAGGGATTTCCCCAAGGTTCAGGGACTTGGGATGTACACAAAGAAAAAAAAAAAACTGGCGATGGAGTTGCTACCCAACTTTTCCAATCCTGCCCCACTTTCACCAGACTTTGACACCATTACCACTGGTGGGAGTGTTGGACCTGTTGATCATAGTTAATGGGTCAGAACTAAATCACTCCATCTATAACCCCTAGGTCAGAGTTACCTCCAAAGCTGCTTCCACTAAATATATCCCAAGCCCTGGAAATGGCATTGGAACAGAAGGAATTAGACCAAGAACCTGGAGCAGGTAAGTGGGTCATTAGTAGGACAGGCTGTGCAGACTGGGATATAGTGAAAGTGGCAATTAGGTGGAGGGAATGGATAGGTTCTGACTCTGTTTCCCTTGCCCAGGACTTGACAGTAGTCTGATCCGGAGTGGTTCCAGCTGCCAGAATCCAGGATGTGATGCTGTGAGTGAGAGCTTATAGGGGGCACAAGCATGTGGCCGAGAAATCCTGTACCTGGGATGACTGGGTATAGATATGAGGCTGTGTGGGGTATACTTTAGAATGACCTAATTATTTTCTTGATTCTCCTTTATCCATCTTAGGTTTACCAAAGCCCTGAGAGTGATGCTACTCCATGTACCTACCACCCAGGAGCACCTCGATTCCATGAGGGGTGAGAGAGGGGACTGGGTGACCTATGAGACAGGTTTCTCCCAATGTTGATCATAAGGTGGGAGTTAGGGCTCATGGCAGAGGGGAGGAGATTCAGAATTATCTTCCCACCTCAGGATGAAGTCCTGGAGCTGCTGTGGCATCCAGACCCTGGATTTTGGGGCATTCCTGGCACAGCCAGGATGCAGAGTTGGTAGGCATGACTGGGGGAAGCAGGTAAGCCCCAACTTTCCCGACTTTTGATTAGAACCAAATTCCGGAAATAACTTTCCCTCCTATACCAGATAAAATTCTTCTCCTTATCCTCAACAGCCCAGAGGCTTTGCAATATGAAGTAGTATTAATCTTTTTGGATTCCGTGTCTCTTCTCTAGACACACTTGAGACCTCCCCTTGGGTTAAGACTTCATTCTTACCACCCACATTTCACATCTTCTCTTTAGCTGCCAGCATCTTGCCGTCATGATTGGCACCAGACAGATTCCTTAGTAGTGGTGACTGTGTATGGCCAGATTCCACTTCCTGCGTTCAATTGGGTGAAGGCCAGTCAAACTGAGGTGAGAAATGTCTGATGCTGGATGGGAGGCTGGTGGATTGGGTGCTATTACAATTTTACAGGCAGAGTTGCTGTGTGCAGTTAACATGTGGGCTCCGTAGTTCCCTGAGAGGAAGGTAGAGCTGGTAGATCAGGGCTGTCTGGCTGACCTGTTGATGTAGGGATCACACCTCTGGCATGGTTCTCTGTTGTAGTAACTTGTTCTGACCTTCTGAGACTGTTACTACTCCTGTAATTCTTCTCTCTCAGCTTCATGTCCACATTGTCTTTGATGGTAACCGTGTGTTCCAAGCACAGATGAAGCTCTGGGGGGTAAGTGAAGATAAGGGGCACAGGAGGGGGAGGAAGATGGGGTAAAAAGAAGGACCAGATTGGAATGAATAGAGGGTGTCTTGAGGGAAGGAATTATAGTGGGAAAGTGGAGGTTTTCTCTTCATTTGCTTTGATATTCTCTCACTCTCCCCCTCTCCCTCCCTTTTTTTCTCCCCCCCTCCTTCTCCCGTTTCTTTCCTCTTTCTCTCTTTCTTACTGTATTGTTTTATTCCTCCCCGTCTTGTTTTCCACACCTTACATTTGTTTATTTTTCTTCATCATTCATCACCACCCCACCCTGACCACAAACCCTCATTTTCTTTTTCTTCTGTGTTCCTCTATCTTTTCCTCCTCCTCAGGTCATAAACGTGGAGCAGAGCTCTGTCTCCTTGATGCCATCTCGGGTTGAAATCTCCTTGGTCAAGGCTGACCCAGGATCCTGGGCCCAGCTGGAGCACCCTGATGCACTAGCTGAGAAGGCTAAGGCAGGGACTGGGTTAGAGATGGATGAGGAAGAATCTGAGGATTCAGATGATGATCTGAGCTGGACAGAGGAGGAGGAGGAGGAGGAAGCGATGGGGGAATAGTGACACCAGTCAACTATCTAGATAGGACCTCAGTGGTTCCCTTAGAATGTCAGAGACCAGGATATGGTTGGCCATGTCCTGTTGTTATTGAGCAGCAGCAGGCTGAAGGAGGGGAGAACAAAAGTGTCCAAACCGTGCTGTTTTTTCCCTTAAATAAATCTCGTATTCTGCAGTTTCACATAGTGTCGTTCTCTCACCTCACTACCTGAGATTTTATTCATCCCCCCCCAACTTCTGTGTGTGTTTAACACACGTGTGTGAAAACAAGCACATGCACAGTCAACCTGTTCTTTATAATCACCGGGTAATCTACTGAGTACTTACTGTATGCCCAGTTGTGTGTTAGGTGGTTTAGAGCTATCTGAGAAACAGAAAGCTTGTTTACTCCTCTCAGGAAAATTATAGTCTGGCCGACAGGCTAATCTATATGAAATATTAAAAAACATCAAGTAGTTTAGCTGAGTGTTAACTTGTACGGTACAATTATTAAGAGCTGGAGGAGTTGAGAGTGGAGCGATTAATGTGGACTGCATTAGAAAGGGAGAGCTCCGTGGAAGAACATTTTTTAACAGCTTTATTGGGAAACAATTCACATTTCATACAGTTCACCCATTAAAGTGTAAAATGCAGTGTTTTTTTTAGTATGCTCAGAGTTGTGCAACCACAACCAATTTTCATCACTCCAAAAAGAAATCCTGTACGTGTTAGCAGTCACTACCAGTTCCCCCCCGCCCCCAAACTCATGGCTGTGGGCAACCACTAATCTACTTTCTGCCTCTATGGATTTACTTGTTCTGGATGTTTTATATGAATGGAATCCTACAATACGTGGTCTTTTGCAAAAGGCTTCTTTTGCTTAGCGTAATGTTTTCACAGTTCATCCATGTTATAAAATGTATCAGAACTCCATTCCTTTTTATGGCTGAATAATATTCCACTGTATGGATATATCACATTATGTTTGTTTCATCAATTGAGGTAAAGTTTGGTTTGTTTCCATTATTATGAATAATGCTTCTATGAACATTCATGTACAAGTTTTTATGTGGACTTACGTCTTCACTTCTCTTGGATATATAACTGGGAGTATAATTTATGGGTCAAATGGTAACTAACCTTTTGAGAAACTGCCAGACTGTTTTCCAAAGAGATTGTACCATTTTACATTCCCATCAGCAGTGTAAAACCATTTCAGTTTCTCCACATCTTCAGTAACACTTGCTATTTGTACTTTTTATTATGGCCATCCCTAGTGGGTGTGAAGTGGAATTTCATTGTGGTTTTAACTGCGTTTCCTTGATAGCTAATGATGTTGAGCATCTTTTCATATGCTTATTGGCCATTTGTGTTCTTATTTGGAAAAATGCCTATTCAAATCCTCTGCCCATTTGTTAACTGGGTTGTCTTTTTATTGAGTTGTGAGAATTTTTTAAATATATTCCAGAGACAAGTCTCGTCGGGTAGATGATTTGGAAATATTTTCTCCTATTCTGTTTCGCCTTTCTACTTCCTTGATGGTGTCCTTTGATACACAAAAATTTTTAATTTTTATGAAGTCTAATTTATCTTTCCTTTAGTTGCTTATGTTTTTGATGTCCTAGGCAAAAAAACCACTGTTTAATCCAAGGTTGTGAAGATTTGTTCCTGTTTTCTACTGAGAGTTTTATACTTACAGCTCTTATATTTAGGTCTTTGATCCATTTTGAGTTGTTTTTTGTATGTTGCATGAGGTAGGGGTCCAAGTTTGTTTTTGCATATGGATATCTAGTTGTCCCAGCAACATTTGTTGAGAAGGCTATTCTGTCCCCATTGGCTTGTCTTGGTACCCTAGTTTAAAATCAACCGACCATGAATGTAACGGGTAAGAAATAAATTTTTAATGGAAACTTGTAGGAATGAGAATTGGATGGATATGGCAGAGTAGGGAGAGCCAAGCTGAGGCAGGAAGGTGTTTTATTTTAAATTCCAGAAGTAATACATTGTCATTGTAAAATGCTCAGTGCAGAAGTATGTAGTATGTAAACTCTCTCCAAGCTTAGTCCCTTTGCTGTTTGTAACCACTGCTAACATATCAGGGGGTATGTTTAAGGGAGGGGACAAAAAAATGACTGAGTGTAGCTAGATTGGGAGGAGCCTAAAATTCTAGGTGAAGGATTTTGAACATTATTTAAAACAGAGTTAGAAAGGCAGTGTAGGCCCTTTTTTAATGTAGATTTTTAAACAGAGGAGTGATCATCTCTTTCTTGAGTCTCCCTTTTCTTGAGCGAGATTTACTCCCTCAACAGAGTGGCCAGGAATCTGGGAGATTCAAAGTCTAAGAAACCTCAGTAGGAAGCTTCACCAAACCTCAAAATGATCTCAAGTTCTTTTCATAGCACAATTTTCTCTCAGTTCCGATTCAAGGAATATAAGGTCTTGTCGGGAGCTAGAGGTAAGATGGGAGTGAGAGAACGGACGTGGGCAGCAAAGGTAAGGGATCACAGGATAGCATGGCTGAGGATTTGGAGATTGAGGCAAGATTAAGGGATCCTGGGGAATGTATCCAAAGAATGCATCTCTGCCTCACAGAGAAGTTTGATCAGAGGTCAAGGGGCTTCCTGGACCTCCAGGATATTCAACAAATCTGGCTCATTTCTCTGCTCTCATTCTATGGATTTGAGGTGCAAATAAAGTTTCCCCCTTGACTCAAGCCCTTCAGATCCTTTCCAACTCTGGCGGCAGTTTACTTTTAATGATATTTTTCTACAGATGAGTTGACATCAATTGGGGCTTTGGTGGACGTTTAAAGCTTTTAGAGGTGTAGAATGCATATAGAAAAGTGCATAAAGTGCACTAACCTTAAATGTACAACTTTTTTCTATCTTATCACAATCAGGAGACCAGCAACTACCCAGAATTCCTGGAGAGGATGAAGGTGAGGAAATCAAAAAGTTCAAGTAACCTTTGTTGTATATAAACTTGATATATAAAATTTCAAGTTCACAGAATTAATAAAGTAGTGTACTTCCTCATCTTATGCAGTCAGTAAAGCAGGTACATAACATTAATGGTAATAACAACAGCAATAACCATAGCTACCTCTTCTCATACAAACTAACCTGCCAGGCACTGTGTTAAGTGCTTTGCTTGCATTACCTCATTTACTCCCCCACTTCTCACCGTCAGATGTACATATTCGTTCACATTAGCACGAATCCTCTCCTTACCTCCTTTACACTTTCTCATTTCTTCCCATTGTGTTTTGTATCCTATTCCCTCATGCCTTCCCAGAAACTTTACACTATTAATTATCCTTTCTCTCTCCTGTTTGTTCAAGCTTTCCCTTTCATTGGATATTTTCATTGACATCTAAACATGCTCGGGTCTCTCCAATTTTATAAAAACACTTTTCCTTGACTACACAACCCTTTCCAACTGCTACTTAACTCTCTTCTCTCCTTTATAAGCAAACTTCTTGAAATAACTATTGATTTTCTATTTCCTCCTTCCTGGTACCATCAAAACACACTCTATCTGACTTCCAACCCGCTCAGTCTGTGGTGATAAGGTCACTTTTGGCCATCAAGTCACTAAATCTAATGGATGCTTTTAGTCCTTGTCTTACTTGATCTCACAAGCAAAATTTGACACTCATGATGGTTTCTTCCATAAAATACTTTTAATACATTGACTTCTATGACCCATCACTCCTCTTGGTTGTCCTCCTACTTCTCTGGCCATTCCTTTCAGTCTCCTTTGCAGGGTTCTTCCTTTTCTACCTGGCCATTGAATGATGAAGTTCCTTAGGACTTAGTCCTGATCTTCCTATCTTCTTATATATGACTCTTCTAGACACTCTCAATTATGCCCATGACTTCAAATACCACCCACATGTAGATGACTCACACATTTTTATCTTTAGGCCTTATCTTTCCTTTGAGATCCAGATTTGTATATTATAGTAGTAATAGCTGACACAATTCTCTCTCTCTCTCTCTCTGCCCCTCCCCTGCTGTGTGTGCACGTGCGTGCTCTCTCACAAAATAAGTTAATGAACTTAGAAAAAATAATAGCTAACCCATATTTAGTATAGCGCCTGACATATATAGTAAGCACTATATAACTGTTTGCTATTATTAGTACTACTATTATTCCTCTCTCTACTAAAAGCTTTCACTTCAGACTATTAGGAAAGTTGGGGTGTGTTTTTTTTTCTCTTGGAGAGGAGGGACACATCTCCAATATCCAATTTTATAATGTTTCAATAAGAAAATAGGATTTTCTTGACAGGTCTTGCTGGTCTACAAAGTGATAACATATTTAACATACCATTGCATCAGCTCCAGGATTAAGGGAGATTGTATTCACCTGCTGATGGAATAAAGTCTCATGTATAGAATGCCACGGTGCTCACCACTTCTACCCACGTTATTTTACTTAATCTTCACACCTGCCTTGTGAGGTAGGTATTATCCCAAATTTTTATAAATGAGGAAAGCAACACTCAGGGAAGGAAATTGCATGCTTTGGAAGTAACATAGCTACTAATTAAAACCTCAGTCATTGCTAAGAGCTGTCATAGAGCCATTTGAGAACATCCAAAACATAAGGACCAACCGGGGTTTGAAAAAAGAAGCCTTAGAAGAGGAACATGACACCATGCCCCTCTAGCCTGGCAGAGTCCCTTTGACAAGCCTAGCGAGGAAGCAGTGAGGCCTTTGATCAGTGCTATCTCATGTTGATGCAACACTTTTCCAATGTATTTACCAGATTCAGTGTTACTATTTTTGGGATTCCTGCCTCCACTGTCCTCTTTCTCCCTTTCTGCTCACAAAGTTCCACAACATTGCTAGAGGGAGAACCAAGCAGACCAATATAAATTCATGCTGTCCAATTTCAACTTGGCCCTGGAAGCTGCTCAGCAACCCTTTTATTTGTCTCCTACGTTCCCTGGCACTCATCCCACAGAGGATCTTAACAGACCTTCCTCTTCTCAAATTCCAGCTCCTCCTGTTCTGCTC